GAGAGAGAGAGAGAGAGAGAGAGAGAGAGAGAGAGAGAGAGAGAGAGAGAGAGAGAGAGAGAGAGAGAGAGAGAGAGAGAGAGAGAGGGATTTTTGAAGAGTGGGAGCTAGAAGGGAGAGGAGGGGAATGCTAGGGAAGACTGTGGTTTCTCTTGTCTTCTGTTTGGGGTCTAAACTTTATATGCGTTTGTTTTCTCTTTAGGTTTTTGTTTTTTTGCAGGAAAAAAAAGTAGGGTTATCTTTAGTTTTTTTCCTTCAGTTGTGGGAAATTCATTCATTGAACTTTTCCTCGGGTGCTCTTTTTGGCGTGCTGAGCTGCACAGGGTCATATACTTGTCCAATTATTTTTGTGTTTTCTTTTACTTCCCCTCCCCCCCCTCCTCCCTCCCTCCCCTGAAGAATTGACTCTCGCTTATTGACTGACGAATACTTTGCAGAAAAAGAAGCATACTCACATAGCCAACGATGAACAGCCTGGAAAGAAGTTGCCCAAAAGTTTCGTCGTCTCCAGGGGAAAGGTGGGTCCTATTTTGCGAAGTCTGGAGCGTGATTTGCGGAAGCTAATGCTGCCTAACACTGCACTGCGGCTGAAGGTGAGCCCATGCCCTCCCTCTCTCCCTCTCTCCCTCTCTCCCTCTCTCCCTCTCTCCCTCTCTCCCTCTCTCCCCCTCCCCCTCTCTCTCTCTGTCTCCCTGTCTCCCTGTGTCTGTCTCCCTCTCTCTCCCTCTCTCCCTCTTTCTCCCTGTCTCCGTGTCTCACTGTCTCCGTGTCTCACTGTCTCCGTGTCTCACTGTCTCCGTGTCTCCCTCTCTCTCTCCCTCTCGCTCTCTCCCTCCCTCTCTCTCTCCCTCTCTCCCTGTCTCCCTCTTCTCTCCCTCTCTCCCTCCCCGCCTGTCTCCCTGTTCCCTCTCTCCCTCCCTCTGCCTGACCACGCGGCCATCCATCCATTCATCCACCATCCTGTATAACATTCGTCCATCCATCCGGTGCCATCTTTCCCTTCCTCTTTGCTAGTTTCCAGACCTTCGATCCTGTCGTTAATTGTTCATTACCATTCTGCCCGTCCTTGCAGCCATCTGGCCTTTCCTTTCACACCTTTCATGATGTGCATGCTGAAACGTCGCCTGGTTTGTCGTAGCCCGGGTTGCATAACGATCCTCAAAAATTTGTGCTCTTCCAGTCCATGTGCTGGTTGGACACTTCGTCGTCACCCGTCCGTGAAAACCTAGGCTCTTTTCTTTCCTTCTCTGTGTGTGCGTGTGTGTGTGTGTGTGTGTGTGTGTGTGTGTGTGTGTGTGTGTGTGCAAACAACACTCAATCACAATAAACGTGGCGAGCCTTGTACGTGAGGCACAGGAAAAGGGGGAGCTGCAAGAACAAATAAAAGGGGTATTCCAAAGAAAGCCGAGGTAAAGATAGTCAAGAAAGGGATATAACGGATCTGTTGTGCTTCATTTTGCTTGCTATAGAGGTAAAACTGTTTCATTGTTGGATTGGCTCATCTTTAGTGTGCTTCATTGTCTGCAACACAGAGGTAAATCTGCTTTGATTTTTCGATCTACTCATCTGGGTGGAACGGGGCTGTGGTGACAATCTACAACACACACACACACACACACACACGCGCACACACACACACAGAGAGAGAGAGAGAGAGAGAGAGAGAGAGAGAGAGAGAAAACACACAAAGAGAGAGAGAGAGAGAGAGAACACACAAAGAGAGAGAGAGAGAGAGAGAGAGAGAGAGAGAGAGAGAGAGAGAGAGAGAGAGAGAGAGAGTGATCCTGTGGCCAGTCTAGTTCCGCTCACCGCATAGGAAAAGGCATTTGCGAGGGTGTGGTCCATGCGTCATGTACATTTCACTGTTAGCGTTGTTCACAATTACGTAACTGTGTGGAAAAAAGGGTGTCAGCGACGGTAAACTTGTCCTTTTTTTGTGACTTGAGCAGGAATCATCACGGAACAACATGAAGGACTTTCTCCAGGTGGCTGGGCCTTTGGGAGTCACTCATTTTATGGCATTGTCGACCACCAAGGAGTCGCCATATCTACGTATCATGAAGACGCCTAGAGGACCGACTCTCACTTTCAAGATCCATAACTATTCCCTGGCAAAGGATGTGGCCCTTTCCCAGAAGCGACCAAAATCACCCCCTGCCATCTACGCTAACCCCCCTCTTGTAAGTTTTCATCAATCTGCTTGTTCTAGATGCTCTTCCAGGTCCTGAATTCTGGTCAGTGGTGGAATCCTGTCCTGATGAATGGTTTTGAAGCAAGCATGTGTGCCTTTGAAGTCTGTGGTAACTTGTGTAAGTTTTTTTTTTCTTTTTTTCTTTTTTCTTTGAGCCTGTCGAAGTCTGACATACGACGTTATCGCATTCTTTGACGTCCTCGGAATGTCATGCAATTTTTGTTGTAGTATATTCTTGAATTGTTAATTATTAATAATTATATTACGTTTTTTTGGGTTTTTTTCTAGGCTACCAGCCGGGCCGCCCGGGTCCCGGGTAGCCAGCCCGTGCAAGGACCAAGGAAGGTCCCAGCAAAAAAACAAAATCCAAAAAAAAACTATGTTACGCAGAAAAATAAACTGAACAACTTTTGCCTCAGGGTTACATCGAAATTCTTCACCAAATTTAAAATAAAATATATATATATATATATGAGTCGGTGAAACTCCGACGAAACAGTTTGTCACAGCCCCTCGTTTGTTGTCCTCTTCTCCCTCTCTGCCTACG